CGAGGCCCCTTTGGCGGAGAGCGGCGAAGACATAGCCCACTCCTTGTCACCTCGTTAGAAATTGTAATTAATTTGAAATTTATTGCCGCCACCGGGCTCACTTGGCTGCCGCGGACTCCGGGGTCGTTTAAAATGCACCCGACTCTCTCTTTCTTCGTGCGCAATCCGCCTTGCATCGGAAAGAGACAGGACGAAAATTTACTCCTCCATCTCTGTCCGATCCGCGAACTCAAATTTAAAAGAGAGGGGTAGAAAAAATTTAAATGATGCTCGCGTCCCCGGAAAAAGGGGTGACGGGTCGGACCCGCGATCGAGGTATCGAACTTCGAGATAACGCCCGCCGAATACAGGGGCCGAATTTTGTCGGCTTCCAAGTGGAAGTGCGCAACACATCCATCGAAGAGTCTACACTGCATAACACCGGTCAACCGGAAGAGCTAAGCCGGACTCAATTGAACTGATTACACTGAAAAAAAAGAAGAAGAAAAAAAAGTTGATTTAATATTCTGGGTGTAAAAAAGTGCGTGAGAACTTATACAAAATGCTGAATTATTAACTACGACATCAATAACTTTAGCAATTTCAAGATGTAAAATTGACTACCGTAGCGGGTAATTTAGCATTAGTTCTTGCACACTTTTTTTTACTCCAGAATGTTAAATCAGCTTCATTTTTTTTTTCGTATTTACGCATTTCTCACCGAGTTTGTGAGGTAAGGAGTAAATTACAGCATTCGCAAAGGCGGTGCTAAACTTTCTTTGGAGTCATTCTCAAATAAATAAATAAATACATAAGTAAATAGATAAATGAAGAAAAAAAATACTAAGAAGTGGCCCGAACTGTATGTAACAAGGTGGAGAAATGGCGCTGGGTCCACGCCATTTCGTGGGGATAAAAAAGCCAACAAGTTCCAAAAATTATAATTAGAATCAAAACTAAAATTTTGAACTCTAATGCGTACTAGTACGCGAAACTTTTGTTGTACACGAAAAGTTTGTTTTCCCCACGAAATGGTGTGGACCCGGCACCATTCCTCCACCTTGTTAAATAAATAAACAAATACAATTTTTTAAAAAAATGTCTTCCGTAAAGCTATCTATCGGCTGAAACTTTGAGCGCTGTAGTGGTTTCACCGATGCCCGTTTTCGGTGTTTTTCTTGACTATGTTATCAAAATTTCTGTCATAATAACAAAATTCCCAATTGAAAGGTACTTATCAGGTACTATTTTAGACTTTTAACCATCTTTATTTTGATTCATCCAACTGAGGATGGCTGAATTTTCAGCCGAAACGTTTTGGTTTTGTGTATGTGGAATTTTAGTCTTGTTACCCGCTTTTTAAATTGTTTTTTTTATTGTATATCTTACCACGGGCTGCAGAACATCTATCATACTTCATGTCTTCCGTAAAGTTTGCAAGCGACAGATCCACTCACACCTCGATTCAGGGCACCCTAGAGTCCCTTTATACTGAGAGTCAAGACAATTTGAATCCATTTCTGATTCGTTCCCGTATTTTAGACTTCCACAGAGTCACAAACGGGAATAAAGATTAGATTTTCACCAATTGCAAAGATTATAATCTGGAATGGACCAGGGAATTACGGGTTCGGCAAGGAACAAACGGAATGAGAGGAGGAACGGAGGAAGGCATTTGAGAATGGGCCGATCAAAGATTACGAAAAACGTTCAATTTCTGTAATCTTTATTCCCGTTTGTGACATCCATGAGCCGAATTGTCTTGACTCTCAGTATAAAGGGACTCTAGGGCACCCTGTATAGTGGGCAAATTGTTACCTCGACCCGAACGGGGGCGCGATACATCGATGTTCGAGATCGTATCGGACGAGGATTAAAATCGATAGTTCGAAGCGTTCACCCTTGAAAGGAGGACACCGGGTCGAGCGGGTTAAGTATAAATAATAATTCTGGCTTTTTCGAGCGATTGATTAATCTTTTTCCGCAGCTACCTCGAGCCTTTTAAGTACTAGTGCTCCGGTCTTTTTTAAACCCCCCCCCCCCCCCCGCCGACCGGTGAGATTCGTTATTTCACCGCGTTCAATTCTTTCATCCGAATCGTCTCTTTTTTTTCCTGGCTCGTAGTTTGGATTTCGCCGACCCCTCAATTGCTCCGCTTCTAACCTCCTTTTCTTCCCGTTTAATTCCTCAAACATGAAAAAAATAAATACAAAAAAGCGTGGGTTTATCAGTGGATCTGGAGTGATTGGTCGCTCTTCTGAGAAACGGGGCCGGAGATTTTCCGAGATGCGGTGCTGAGGTTTGTTCGAGGCTCTCGGGGAGCGTGGACGAGAGGGAATATTAACTACGGTGAAACACAGGGAGACTTCATAGAATGGAAAATAAAAGTGGGTGAAATAATAGTTCGGAAAAGAGGCGCAAAACACAACGCGGGTGAAAAGCTCAATATTTTCGTTGAGATGGATCATCAGCTTGTGCGCAATGCGTTATGGGTACGATGGATAAATAGATCTCAAGTTTTCAGCTTCAGGTGAATTATTTTGGGAAAACTCAGTTTCAGTCTGTACACGGAGAAAAAAACTTCGTGCGTGGGACCCAAAGTTTAGGTCATATGGATCTCTGAAGTTTTCGGATTGAGCATCCGAACACTTTAGGTCCAGCTGCTGAGGTTTGGATCACACATCTGAAACTTCAGTTCTTACATCTGAAGTACTTCGGTTTTCACATCCGAGAAACTTCGGTTCTCACATCTGAAGTACTTCAGATGTAAGAACTGAAGTTTCAGATGTGTGATCCGAACCTCGACAGCTAGACCTAAAACTTTCAGATGCTCAATCCGCAAAACTTCTGAGATCCATATGACCTAAACTTCGGGTCCCACGCACGAGGTTTTTTTCTCCGTATAATCATTAGGGAATGTTCGTGCCAAAAATCGTCGCAAAAAATCTTAAAACGAAGTCAAAAGTACTGCCTCCAATGAGCCATCGATGTGGATCCATTGAAATCGGTTGCTAAAAGGAAACTGTAATTCTGACTTAATGTTATAAGATTTTGGAGGATGATTTTCAGGAAGAATATTCTTCAATCATTTGTCTACAAACTGAAACTTAGATTTTCCCAAATTACTTCGCCTAAAGGTTAGATTTGAAATATATCGATCGTGCCCAAAATGCATTGCGCAAAAGCTGAAGATCCACCTTAGAATCTCACAATCTGAGCATAACATACATCCACACTACCGATAAAATGAAAAACACCACACTCCAACATAGATTTTTTCAATTTTTTCTGATTAACTTTATTTTATTGTAGGAAAGACATCAATCATACACTCTCCGCATTTTCTGATAACTTTAGCAACCTAATGGGAACGCAAACTAGCGTTAGGAAGCATGATAGAGATCAGAATTCTTTTGATAAGAGGAAATTGCTCAGTTTTTCGCTGGACTTTTGTTTTGGGGGTTTTCTGGAAAAGGGACTTTTATGTTTGAAACAACAAAAAATTATAGTGAGAGGATAATTTGTGTGGGAGGATCATGATTGAGAAATCCAAATTTCTACCTACGCGGTGAGTGGGATTCTTTTGAACTACAGAGAAAAATATTCCATTCGATATTTCTCTGGAAAAACATGCCTATTTTAAATCAGTAGAACTTTTTTTGAGTTGACTAGAAAAGTTTCGGGAAAAATAACACGTCTTTTGCAAAGTATATTTAAAAAAGTTCGTTTCTATTCAAATAGATAGGCTTCTCGTACAAGACAAAAAAAGAAAAAAGATGGAGAAAAAAAAGAAAAAAAAATCGGTCCTAAAACCTAAATGTGCACTCACGAAATGGAATAATAAGGAAGGATAGGACCTTATAAGGATATTAACCATCGAATATTATTTACGAGTCTGATAGTTGTGTGAAAGAAGAGAGATATAATCGCCGTCTTGGCACCGACGACTGCGGTTGGGGACTAGCGTGTATGCTTGGAGGTATCAGGTTGATTTGAAGGAACTCTTCGTCAGTCAACTAATTCTAAAATCTTTCAAGTACCTACTTCTGGTGTTACTGCGAAGTCCCTCCGTCCCAACAATGTTCGAGCTTTTCTCAGTCAAATAAATAGGCTAATGGTAGACAGAGCCTATTATGATATCAATGAGTTTCTTTGTACCTAAAGTTCTTTGCACCCCTTTGTTTCTAAATTTGTTCTCACTATTCCTTGTTATCAAGCCTGCTAAAGACCTGTATTGTCATGCATATATGTATCCACTTTTCAACCCCGTTTGTACTTATATTAGCTCTACCCTAAAGAGCTTACTCTTCTGTACCGAAAAAAATAAATAAAAAATAAAAAATTATCCGATTTCAATCGGAGACTACGAAGTAACATTGTTCTCTCCAAGTTAATTTATTGAAAGTAGCATTGAGACGGTCCTTTTCTAAAATTGTCTCTTTTGTTTTGTTTTGCAGTGTTGGATGTAGTCATCAAAATTGGCCCCATTGAAGGAATTACTGCAGAAATTACCAACGAAGAACTAGGAATGGATCCGGAGGAGGGTAAAGCCTCACTGGAAAAAAGTCGCTTGGATCTAGAGTCCAGACTCTTGAAAACAATGACAAGAAAAAATTCTCTTGAATCAATCGGCTTTTTGCTTGAATCAAAACGAAATCCGCTTGAACTAAGAGGCTTGGTTCTCGATTCAGGCAAAAATCTGATTGAATCAAGAGTATTTTTTCTTGTCGATGTTTTTAAGAGTCTGGACTCTAAATCCAAGCAACTTTTTTTTCCAGTGCTGGTTACGTGCCATGATGTGTAGATGGCAGACTGGTGCAGATTTACATTCACAGCATCTCCTGAAGTTACTTTATTGATAGCTTTGAGACGGTCCTTCTCTAAAATTGTTTCTTTTCTTTGTTTTGCAGTGTTGGATTCATTAATTAAAATGGATCCCATTGACGAAATAATCGCTATGAAATAGAGAATCGAGGACTTGGAATGGACCCGGAGGAGCGTAAAGCCTGGTTACGCATCATGTAGATGGTAGACTGGTGTAGATTTACTTTCCCAGTATCTCCTGAAGTTAATTTATTGAAAGCTGTGGGACGGTCCTTCTCTACAATTGTTTCTATTCTTTCGTTTTGCAGTGTTAGATTTAATCATTAAAATGGACCCCATCGAGGAAATGATTGCTGAAATTGAAAACGAAGAACTAGGAATGGACCCGGAGGAGCGGAAAGCCCGGTTACGTGTCATGTAGATGGTAGACTGGTGTGGATTTACATTCACAGCACTGTCCGATCTCAATCAACGTTTACTTTTTACCGCACGGCGCAGCGTCCCACGAAGTTGTCTCAAATACCCGCGAAACTTCACGGCGGAACTCTTTCAGGGTTTATTTTTCCATTAACATGCCACGCTCAGACGCGAGTTTAAATTTTTGCCCTCGCAGTTAGATTACTTGCGCGGGGCCCCTCCGCTCGAGACATAAATATACGTATTCAGATTCAAAGGCACCATCTCGATTGTGATCCTGACCCCGCGGCGCATAAAGACACATACAAAAAAGGGCTCATATTACGATGTAGATAGGTGCTTTTGATTTAAATACTACCTAAATATACGATTTCTGCGTCGAGCACTCAAAACTGCGATTGCATTACAACGGGTAAGATCCGGTGGGAGAGAACTTTTTCCGCGACGCGCATTGTTCGTCGACGGGGAAATTCGCCTTTGCGAGGGCTCGCGACGGTGGAATTGGATTATTCTCCACTTCGGGCAGGTATTTTCACGTCAAAATATCATTGATGGAGTGGAAATTTTGTATCCTCCATGTCAATGGTCTGAATTTGGGCATTGTGATGTTGCGCGTTTCATCGTGTGCACTTTGCGTGGAATCTATTTCATGCGAGGCAAAAGATGTTGACCGTCAAAAAATGCGCAACTTCATTTCATGATTTAAAACCTCCGCTTGCAGAGATAAAAATTTTGGTGTTTAGTGTTAAGGTTTTCATGTTATATTTTCTCTCAAAAATCAGGCGAAATTTTCGAGCAGTAGAATTTTTGTTGCAGATTGCCAGTGCACTAATTTCTAGAGACCAGTGCTTAGAAAGTTGAAAAATTAGTCACAAACGCTCAAAGTGATCATACGAGGTCTTTCAAATAAGAAACGGGATTTTGGTTATAACTAGTGCAATGTCCATTCGAAGTAGGTTTCCTTGGACTTTCCTGATAGCTGATAACATACTAAAGAACGCAAGATTCACAGATTTAGTTTATTTTCATCCGTGTTCATTATGTGTCACTTTAAATACGAGTAAGTCAGGTGCATTCTGCGATTCTCATCACGCAGTCATTGATAGACTAAAGATTTATCATTAAATTTTGTTTTGAACTCGGTATACCTTGTAACAAAACTTTTGGTATGCTAAGTAAAGTTTACCTAGATCATTGTATGAGTTGTTCTCCGGTTCAAAATTGCTAGGAGTCCGTCGAGGATGAGGAGCGCAGGAATCGACCATCAACGGCACCTGACATTTGCCACATGGCGCTCGAAAATGGTCGTTTTGAGCTTGCTGAGCAGTGTGATATTTCTGAAGGCTCTGTACATACAGTTTTGTTAGAATGTTTACACATGCATCGAGTTTCAGCTAAACTTGTCCGGAGACTGTTGTCCGTTGAACAAAAATCCAACCGATTGTAAATTTTCGTTGAGCTTTTTTGAACGTTCCAACAATGATCCTACATTTTCGGATATGGTAATTTCCGGTGTCAAAACTTGGGTATACGGCTACATTATGGAGACAAAACTTCAACCATCCGTGTGGGTTGAAAAAGGAAGTGTAAGACCGAAAAAAGCGAAAAGTTTGGTCAAAACTGTAGAGCACCCAGGGGGTTGCCTTACTTCAAATCACGCACCAAGAAAGCTAATTAAGATTTTTTTGAATTGTGAATGTAGTAGTATGATTAAAGTATATTTTAAGTATATTTTCAGCTATCAAGAAAGTCCAAGGAAACTTAATTTGGACGCATGATGGGCTAGTTATCACCAAAATCCGGTTTCTTTTCTAATAGACCTCGTACTTACAACTTAAAATAAAAAAAAATTAAAACAAATTGAGTCCTAGATATTTTTTGTTTTTCTCATGAGGGCGATAAATCTCTGACATTATGTTGCATTATTTGGAAAGGACCCCATTGCATTTAATGTATGTTTTACTTTCAGATGCTAATCTTGCAAAGCCTCAATCGCATCAACAAGCGAAACTAACAGCTAATCATGCTAAAAGCCTCAATCGCGTCAACAAGCAGAACTGACAGCTAATTTTGCAAAGCCTCAATCACGTCAACAAGTAGAACTGACAACAACAGAAGGAGGAGATGTTGAATATAACCTCTTCATGTCAGGTACAAGTCCTTATCCTTACATTAACATTTTTTAATAGCTTTTCTTCATCCAATCCATAGCTTATAAATTCAATCTCAATAAAGAAAGCAGAATAATGGATATAATCAAGACATTTTTTAGATCATCAATGGAGATGTTGCATGTGTGAGGAATTTGCGATTTGACCATTGATTCTTATGTAAAAGTTTGCGAGAAACATGATGGTGCCACTGGTTTTCTCTGAAATCAACTCTCAAGCTCAAAAAAAGCTCTCAAATTGAGGCCCTAATGGAGGGAGCCAAAATAGCATGAGATATCCATCCCACGCTATCCTGAGAGTCCCAAGACAAACTCTCCATGCAAAGATAGAGAGCAAATACATTGACAAGGCTGCCACTTTATTTGGGGACTCTAAAACTAAAAACACGGCAACTCTGCTGATGTATTTGCTCCCTATCTTCGATGTAGACACGGGCATCTGAACATCTGAAAAGGGTCCACGGGCAAGACGTTCTGCAGGCCTCTGACGACGACGTCAAAATGTGGAAACTGGCGGAACCAAGAGCCAAGAAGCCGGGCGAGAAAAGCAGAGAGAAGCCGTAGGATGAATTCAACTTGCGACTAGTAAGATATAAGAAACCAAAATTTTTACACAAAATTGTTCCCGAAAACTTTCAATTTTCTGTGACTTTCATAACATTTTCAAATACCAATGAGATTCACGACGCACAAAATGACTTTTCAAAGTTTTCGAGCATTACTTGTTCATTTTTACCCCGATAATGTTCTAATGGATGATGACAAATTTGAAGCCATTCGAGAATTGATTGACACTTACAGAGACGATCTGGATTTCTAGAGGGTAGTTATGTTGAAATTAAAACTGAGATGAAGAACTGGTCTCAACTTTTGGCTGCCTCCGCCAAAGCTTCCCAAAGACAATTGGGCGATTGACTTCTTGAAAAAGTGCAACAAAGATTTGTACCCAAATGTGTACGTATAAGAATATTTTTTTGTTATATCCCTGTATCTGGAACTACTTGTGAACGATGTTTCAGCAATTTAAAAATCTTGAAAACTTATTAGCGAAACACAATTGGGTAACTGCGACTCGACGGGTTAGCCCACTTATACATTTCCAAACATATCCATTTGACTGCTGATTAAATCTTGGTGAAATTCACGAGGCAAAGGCAAAGAAGACTTGATTTGGGTGTTGAGGGATGATTAACGACACGGTTTTCTTCTCTAATCTCCTGGCTTAATTTTTATTTTTGATAATGGAAATAAATTTAATTTACATGTTAAACTTCATTTTGACTCTCTCATTTTTTAATTTCTCACTGCAACCCATTTTAACTGCCTAGATTTGACTCCGCATTCTGGATTGTATTCTCTTTTAAGCGCTCAGCCGATAGGCGGCGCTTTTTGATTTCGATTTGCCACTAGAGCTCTAGTATAGTATGGCGCTCAAGCGATCAAATGGCGCACCAACTCATCGATGCACGAAACGCCATTTTTACTTTTTTTTTTTTTGATTACCTCATTATGCCTCTGTGAATACGATTAAATGCAAATTAGCGTAAGAAATAAATAACAGTCCTAAAACTCTCTTTGCTATGCGGTTTATAGTTATCCTATAATTACTTCTGAAAGTTCAAGATTCGCGTTCTGTTTTCCGAAAACTTTTCCACCGGTGATAACCTTATTCGGAGACCTTAGTAGAATTCGCCTACATCTAGGTTATGTGTCTTTGACCTAGGTACTGGAGAGTATTGCCATCCTTCTGCCCTTCTCTGATTGGTTCATGAGTTTTGGCGTCTTTGGCCCTCTTCTGGCTTAATAAGATCAATGTTCATTTTCTGTAGGTACATAGCCGCGATTTAGATTCAGATGACACTACTCTCCCGTCTTTGCTTCTCGCGTCTCGCTTACTCCTTTGTGTTTTCATATTTCGTCCATCTCCCTCCATCCATAATTAATTCCATAATCCATCCGCCTCGTTTAAGATTGTGAAATTGTCTGAAATTTGAAACATAATATTTTGGAATTATTCAACGTATGTCGTGTCTTGTCTTCAGACTCGTTCTGCCCACCTCGTGAAGTTTGTGAAAGTTTCTGAAGTATAATGCTGTAAAATTATTTGACCAATTATCATGCTACCTCAGAGACTGTTTTAGTGTTTTTGGGTTAATTAAAGTATGTCAGGTAGGAGATCTGCCATTTGCGATACATGCAAAATGCTTCATTATACTAGTGTACCACAGTTGTTCTCAAGCACCAATTACAACACGGTTTGCATTTTTATGCTGAATAGCATAGATAAACGACTGGAGCATTTTGCGCAGCTCAAGCGCAGGGATTTGTACCTTCGTAATTGTCACCACCTCATCGCTGCAAATTATGAAAAGGACCGCTCGAGTGTATCCTTGATCATAGAATATCTGTTATTCTCAAAGCGATGTCGTCATCACATCCCTGTCAGTTCACAACTTCTAATTATTGAGTTTAACTAGGTGTCAAAAAATCTGAGATATCTGAAGTAGCAGAAAATTGTGTACTTTCAAAGTCTAAGATTTTTTGCGGCACTAACAGTTTCATAAATCTTCCTTATAACACTCTACTCTGAAACCGCTACATTCTACCTCTCACATTGCTCCATAACAAAGGTATGTGTTAGCCTCTTATTTGTACTAAAAATTCTAGGTTTCATGACTCATTTACTCATTCACTCTCTGGTGAATTTGGTTCCGTCAGATTCATTGCAAGACACCTTATGTGTTATCTCCGCAGACCTAACACAGACATTTGAACGCTCAATGAGAGCAAAATTTCAACTGGCCTGTTGTCTACTTTTCAGTAAAGAGGGTAAATAACCTTCCTTTTGGACTCGCTTTGAGACGATAAAACAAGGTTTCTCCATTACTTACCGTAAGACGATAATAAGTGTTCCACCAGACTATGTAGGAGATGAGGTTGAAAGTTACATCACCTCCATGTGTGAGGAAGTTTTCTTACCTACAACCTGATTTTATGACTTACAATAACAAAAGATACTGCTTTCGCCTGGCATTTTTTCATGCGTCACATCGTCTAATAAACAGGGACCTACATTTGATTCCATGAATAGGTAAAATGGCTCAGAGAGAATTTCGTCGAATGATCACTACGGCCATCTCTCATCCAGTTGGAGAACTTTTACTTACCCTTGATTAAAAAATTCATGAACCATAGAGTTTTTGGAAATTGAGTACACAATATTATTGTGAAAGATTTTTGAGGTTGAGTCTTTGTTTACATTCTCAAAGTATCAAAAGTTCTACAGTTTCATCGTGTTTCCTCCTAACTTTATCAGCTTATGAGCAATGGCTCCTAATTTACTCAACTCCTCAGCAGGCCAAAACTCTATACCTCTACAGATACATATGAGAATCATGCGTTTCAACGAAACCTACGAGTCCTCTTATCATCACTCAGGAACCACCGATCTTTTCTGCAGGTGTCATGGACCATTCATGACAAATACTGTTGCAACCACCCTTATCCTAGGTACATATCTATGCATAGTAATTCTAGCGATCAGCTCCATACTCACAATGTAATTTCTGTAAAATACAGTTGGACGGTGGAATTACCAGACCCCGTATCTCGGTTTGCGACGTTGTAGACTTCCTTTCATACTTTCTTCTTTACACGGAAAACCAACCAACAACAATTTATAAAAACTTCTGCACTTTTTCTTCTCTGTGCAAAGAAAACTCTGTGAAAACCAAGGAGGAAAAATGATTTGTTCTCTGTCAAAAGAATAAAATGGGAGCGGAGATTTTTAAGCACCGCAAACGATATACATGGTCTGCTAGTTTCACTGTTGACTTGTTACGATATACCTATACCTACAATATCCCTATAGATTATATTGAAGATATTACTGTCCCTGTAACAGTGACTGATTCGAATGTTATCACAGTATGGAGGGTTTCAGATAATTGGGCCAGCATGGTTTATTAATTACACAGAACGTAAGTTACCTTTATAAATTAAGGCGTAGAGGCAACTTCTGCCTTTGGTTGGCCAGAAATTTCTGTAAACGCATTTAAATTTCTGAAATTTATGAGAAATTCCGAATCTACTAAATGAAAGCAAGGATTTCAGGAGAACATGATTAACAATTTGCTGTCAGAAGGAAAACTGCGGAAGGAAAGTGGGAGAGATTTTTCACTAAGGCTCAACATAATATGAGGAGGAAAAAATGAATGTAATTTCCGTTTACCCTGGTTATAATTCTGGTATTGTAAGAATTCTCTTTCTCTATTTACGTAAATACGTATTAGATTATTGTATTGTATGAAATCCTGTTATCACGAAGACAGAGTATCATAGAGCATAAACAATAAACATAGGAAAGGTTGTGTCTGATCATGAGTCATTAGAAGGTTTTAGCGTAGTGTGCTGCAACCTAGCGGACACATGGTGCCTTCGATTCGCGAAAAGTTACCTTCAGTACTCACAATCAGTTGCAGTTGATCGATTTCGTTTATTGTCTCATCATTTACCTATTAATATTTATATTTCGTTCATTTATTTACCTATAATATTTTTTACGTGTCCAATTAGGGCATCATTAAAACAATTAATTTGGCCTCGTTAAGTGATACGTTCATCTTTGATACATTTTCTTCAAATGATCTAGAAAAGTTATTTTTTTGGAGCCGTAATAGTTTTCTCTGTTTTTATGAGAAATCGAGGATTTTTTATGTATTAATATTTCGGTACTTAAGTAATGGATCATTATTTTTCCTATGGATCTTGGATTTTTTTTCGGGGGGTGGGGGAGGAAGCACAATTTTAGATGTTTTAATTATTGCAAATTTTAAAATACTCAGTTAATAGGTAGTAAGTTAAATCTGGGACTCATTAAAATTGCGCTCACCGCTGAGCGCTTCTCTAATACCCACGTATTAGAGCTTTCCCGCTTGTTTTCTCTGTCTTTTTCAGAAATTTATTTATTTAATATAATTTGTTTGATCTATTAAAATTTATTTTGTTCTCGTGGCTATATCTTGTATACTAATTACTCAAACTGTACAAATGTTCTTTGTCGTGTATTTTCCTTATTCACCCAAAATTAACTGAACGTCGTCCAATTTTTTGGTTTTTTTAGGGGGAGGGGGGATAGGAAATGTTAGGATTCAGTTGGAGAAGCTAACTTGGGGATTGCATGTGACCATTGTGACGGATGGTACCATGTAGGATGCATAAAATTGAGACAGAGAACGTACCAGGTTTTAACAACAGTGATTGGATCACTGCTCGATTCTTCAATGTCTGAAAAGGGCGTGAGCATTTCGAGCACATTTTCTTCAAAAATAACAGTTTTGTCGTGCGTGATCCGTCTCTCGCGGTACTCGTTGAGAGAAATTCTGCGTTCCGGTTGAGGCGTTTCACTGAATGAGTCCCAGTCTATGTCAAAATCACCACGCACGTTGCGCAATGTATAATTTTGATACCAGTCTGAATCTTCCATTTCATTCCAGAGGTGTCACATGGATTTGCGACTGGTGCTTAGGTGAAGGAGTTTGTATGAAGAAGAAGGTAGAAGACTTAGAAAAAGTAGTGCAGGGACTGATGATTGAAAAGACAAAGAACGCGGAAGGACTGACAAAGAGAGTAGGAGAACTGGATGGTCTGCGGAGTGAAAGTTTTTACTTCGACTTAGTTCCCATCGAATAAGTGGATGAAGCATTATAATTTCAGAATCACCAAAAAATGTCTTAGTTGTATATATACAGCATGGAAAAATAAATCCGCAAAATCTAAGGGGGGCTTGAAATCTAAGTAGAGATGTACGAGACAAAAATTCGATCCATATCCATGTTGCTGAGGTCCAGTAGCACCAGGAATTTTAAGTGGAGCAAAGATTTTCAAAATAAAGTTCTTTTAAACATGCTATCGCGCAACTACATCAACGGTTGCAGTGCTAAAACGTGATAATAAGCAGGGGCAGCTGAGGCTATCGGAATGGTCATATATACTGTACGATCCGGGACGAACCGACAACATGTGCATCAACTTGCACTTCCGGTTGCGCGGAAAACTTTCGTTGCGTGCGGCTATTATAATAAGAATTATGACAGGCGCTCCGTTTTCAATGCACCAATTTCGCGACTTTTAAGTCAACTCAAGAAGAGATAATCAGAAATATCCGAAGAACCAACTCCACGGACGTGGAAAAACGTCTCGTAAAATGGGAAAAAAAATCATCGGATCTTTGAGGAGAAACGACACGACGTGAGAGAGCGTGCAGGGTTTTTAAA